AATTGGAGGAACAAGCCAGCTCTCAGAAGCAGTCATGGTGGCATGTTTGCTGCTTCCTTCGTTTTAGGTCTGTCCCAAATCCTACATTCATTCTATCTATATATATATATATAAATATATCACTTATTTTAAGTATTTATAAAAAAAATTAGAAGTGTATTGTCTAGCACGACTAAGTCGAGCTGGCCTTCTCTTACTGCCCACACTGGGCCTCTAGCCCATCATTATAAAGTAAAGCTCCAGACAATCAACTCTTCACAACTAATAAAATATTTTGGCATGAATATCCTCACATAATCACCATAACATATCTCAAGGATATCATACCAACTTGATCTCGACATATCATATCTCCTAGAATCGAGGATCACATATAAGAATATATCTCCAGAAATCACGTAACATCATCTATAAGCTTAGAGATAAGATCAAACACTTATATATGGAGTACCAGGTACCATTATATCATAATCTTATTTTTAACATAAACTCTTCTCTAACTCTAGTGTTGGAGTGTCTTTGAAGGTGCCCTCACTACCACGAATATTAGAGTAACAAGGATGTTATCCCATTGTTAGAGCACTTATAGGATTGTAAGAACATTTGGTGTCCTCCGTGGAGTGATAGACCAATTTTTGTATATCTTTATATGCACCATTTTTTTATTTGACTTTTATTAGTATCATATTGTGATATATTAACTTTGATATGTTCTAATGAGTCATTTTGGTCTTAGTTATAAATTTTAGTTAATTTTCATATATTTTTTTTGTTTTGACATTATTTCTTGTGTAGGCCATATCTAGAGCTCCTAACATTGGATTTGGACTTTCTTCGTGTTCCTAGAAAGATAAGAGAGAGTTATACAATTTTTCTATTGGGAGAAAAGTCTAGTTCAGCGTTAAGCAACCCAAAAATGCATTGCAAAGTTGTAGCCTTATATAGTATTTTCTTTTTATTTTTAGAATGTAATGTTAGGATTTATTTAGTGATGTAATTAGTTGATTTAGTGGTTTGGACTTTTAATT